GGGGCGGGGGTATTCTTGTATTTTGGGTACATCAGGACTGGCCAAATTCTCGAAATACTCATACTTCGCATGCAACTACCCCTAGTTGCTTTCTGCTGCGCTTGGCTGAGACACGTCTAATCCCACTGAACCCTCTTACCTAACCCTCGAACCTAAAAAAGTCTAGGGGCTAAAGGGTCTACAAGTAGGGGGTTCATAGGGCTTACAGGCTTATAGAGCTTGAAGGGCCGATAGGCTTTGCAGGGTTTAGAGAGGGCTGAACACTCTCCAGTTTTGCTCTTCAGAGCCGGCTGAACGCAGCGGCACGGCGGCGAGCTTCGGGGTCGGAGGGCCTCGGGGCTCTCAGACCGGCTGGGGCTTTAGGGTTTCAGGGTTTTGGGGGGAAGGGTAATGCATTCTGTGCTAGTGCTACCCACCCAGCCTGGAGTCACCAGCACATGGGTCCCTGTCTTTCGCATGTCCTCTGAGGGTAGAATCCGGATAGAAGTTACCGAAACCTCCATCGCCAGGAAGCCTGTAACACCGTAGACATCTGAGTCACAAAGAAAAGCTGAATCACTGCTCATGCTTTCCCGTCTCCAAGGGATCCTGGGACGCTCCGAGCTGAGCCTCAGGCCCTTTGCCACCACCGCCAAAGGGCTGAGCACGGCTGCAATGGTGGTCTGCGAGGTCTTGGAGATACTCCTGAACCAACGTCTGCGACCGGCAACAGAGATCCCTCATGCTCGGCCCAGCGATCCTCCAAGTCTTCTCCCAAGTGATGAATCGCGTCGCCCTGCAGTTGAGCAAATCAGGACTCTGGCCGGGCAAAGGACGCATGGCAAAAACATCCTTGTCGTAACCCATCTGATTCCAAACAAACAGTGCGTGTGGGCAAGGAAGCCGTTGTCGCAAAACGATCCTGCAACTATGTGGATCACTTCTGGCTAGCTCGAGGGATCCTGATGCCTCTGGGCGGAGCTAACACTGATGATTGCCAAACATCCCACGTACTATCCAGCCCTGCCACCCATCCCCAAATTTGCACCGACCGCCCCAACCCTTAACCACGTCGAAGCGTTTGAGAGCCAAATCCGATGCTTACACCAAATGTTTAAAGGTTAACCCACTTTATCCCCGCGAAGATGCCCCAAACCTTCGGATCCCAGGGTCCGTGAATGTGGCCGGTGCATCCGGAGAGGCGAAGCGCAGCACCCGGCCCACGCGACTGGACACACAGAGCCTCTGGGCTTCAAGGCTTTGGGTTCATAGGGTTACTAATTGCGGGGTTACAGGGCTTTGGGCTTCCAGGGCTTAGGATTTCCCACATCGCCACATCTGGATCGGACCCGACCGGGCTTCAGGCGACACGTGCAGCTTCTTGGCGTACCCAATAGGGATCCAGGTTGGATCATACCTATCACCCCGCACATGCTTCAACTGTTCAAGCTTTTTGTTAGACCGCTGCGTGCGCATAGAAAGATGGAAGGAAGACTACGAAATGCCAAATGCGCATGCACGTCTTAAACTGCTCACGAAAAGCTGAGCCAAGCGCCCCGCACTTTTCCACCACCGCTGTTGCATTTCATGGCTGGCGGATTCACCTGACCCACTGACCCTAGATGCTGAAACACTAAACCCTAACACCCTTAACCCTAAAACCCTAAAAGCCCAAACAAAGAACCCAAAATAGGATTGTTTTTTGTGGGGGGCTCCTCAGTGAGCATCCTGGAACTTGAGTGCTTCTGAGCTCCAGGCGCCAATAAAGCGACAGGTCGCGGCATTCCTTCAACGAGAGGAACTTCCTGGCTCTCTTTTAGGGTTTACAGGGTTTATAGGGTTGCAAGGTTCACAGGGTTCATCGGGTTCATAGGGTTCACAGGGTTCATAGGGCTCATAGGGCTCATAGGGCTCATAGGGTTCATAGGGTTCATGCGGTTCATAGGGTTTACAGGGTTGAGGGTGTGTCGGGTTTACAGCTTAGGGCGAGGGCTGCAGGGAAGGCTGCGCTTCGATCATTGAGAATTCTTCAAGATTGGTGCACGCCTCAAACATGTCAAACATGTCTGAATGACAGTGCTTTGTTCTTTGGCACCATCAGCAGACCTGGCGGAACGGTCACTGCTTCGGGTTTGGGGTTGAGTCAGGGTCTCTTTTCTTCGGCCCCCATCTGCCTGGCTTCTCACCCTTCTGTCCATCCGCCAAGGAAAAGAGCTCCCGCAGGGGTGCAGGAAAGGCCACCTTCAGCCTCACAGCGACACATGAATCTCCAAAACATACATATGTACCTGGGTGGGGAGAGGGGGTGCTCTGACATGTAGCTTGTAGACTTGTAGAAGTGGAAAACTCGATGAGAACAGCCCCCCATCTGTCTGTGTCTTTGGCGCCGGTCGCCTCTCTTCCACCGCAGCAATTTGATCCGGCTCTGCACCTTCTGGCGGGGAGATGTGCCACAGCTACGGTGCTGAAAGCCCACTCTGAGACCATCGCAGGGAAGTCCAGAGGATTTTGGAGCTCTTTCTGGATGAGGGATTCGGTCTCTGGGTGAATTACAGGTTCTCGGGTCACACGAGGCCTGCATTGAAGCTGTCGCTAAGCAGCGGCGGAGTCGCTGTGCCTGCAGCCAACCGCATCGATACTGGCTGGCAAAACAAGGATCCCCCAAATACCCTAAAACCAAAGACACCCTTCTAAAACAGCCCCCCGCGTGAAAGGGGAAATGCAGACGGCGTGTTGAAGGGTATGGCGAGCGCCCTCCCCCCTGCTGTGGGGAAAGACCGAGGCCCTGGCTTGGTACTCCCCGAAGCCTCTGTTGAGAGGCGCGGGGGTCAAAGCTAATCCTTTCGAGCCTTTCATCTCATTCCTCCGTCGATGCTTATGTGTGAATGTGTATATGTATACATATGTGTGTATGTATATTTGAATATTTGTATAGGTATATAAAGTAGTTATTTAATTAATCTCTGTATTTCTGCTTATTGACATATGCATGTACATATACATATTAGGGTTCAGGGGGCTTAGGGTTTAGGGATATCAAGGGGGCATGAGATTACAGCGGGGAAGAGTTTACGACGGACAGAATGATGATGGCCATCCTGACGATGACTCGTGTGTAAGAATGTTTCTGTCAATACCAAAAAGGATTATGAATGCCCAACTAACCCATCAGAAATCCGCTGATCAGATTCGCCTCCAGATACATCAAAGGGTTGCCGATTTGATTTTCAATCAACCCGAGATGCCGATAGTGTACAACCTTAGCAAATAACATCGAATAGAGCGATAGGTTTTTGGCCTGAATCCCAGAAAGATTTGAAGAAAAACATAAGAAAAAGAAAACTGAAGGAGAAAGAAGGATGATATCCACGTTGAAAACAAGAAAGAGGAATGAGCCCGGGGGTCAAAAGATTGTGGTCTTAAGCCTGGGCTCCCCAAGGAAGGTCAAATGGTACAGGTGTTAAGGCCGGGCCCGCAAAATCGGATAGGTGTTCAGGCTGGGCCCTCAAGGGTTGCCGTTTGACCTTGGCGCACCATTTTTTCGGAGAGGTTGTAATAAGTAAAACAAAACCATTTGAAAAAGTACAGCCAAGAAAAAGTTGTGGGACCCAATGTGCAAAATAAGTGAGTATGTCGCTGTCACTCGACAGGCTGGTTGACTGGTGAATGCTTGAACTCGAGATGCTGAACCCTGAAGGGGGCAGGGCCTTGCAGAGCAAAGCTCGGTGAAGATGGCACGCACCTGGGCTGATCTCTTTGGAATTGGGCGCACTTGGGGCTCACTACCTTACGGCACCATGCCTCACCAAGCGCCCTTTCCGCAATATCAGCGGAACCCCGCAGCATGGTCATTTCAACACCATTTAAGCCCGTTGTTACGCCATAGCTGCAGATTCCGATATCGACACTGACTCAAGAACCCACAGCTAGAACTTTGCCCCAGATCATTCCTATCGCTCACACGGTCTGCTGCCACGGGCAACGAGGATCGCTTCTAGATCCCAGAATAGTCTTGCGCCTGCCTAGTGCGAGTACAGGACTCTGGCTGTCATGTGCTGCACGTTTCAATCTTGCATAATTGGACGGCAACCTGGGTAGTCGCCGCCGCCACACCATTTCTACAGCAACTCACGGTGCAGACCCCATCCCGCTTTACAAAGAGAGCTAAGCAAGAAGCAAGCGCGTTGCCTTTGTAAGCACCCTCAAACCAGCAAGCCATGCTTTGATGCACGATTCTGCGAAAATCTGCTTCAGCTTGGGCACTCGGCTGTTGGCCAGCCTGAGCAGTATGCCCACCATCCACTCGAACCCCGTGTAGAATGTGAAATGTAGTTTGGGGCATACAGGGCTGCGGGCTTAGGGTGCCGGCAAGCTTCCCTGCAAAGCCTACATCTTCTGAGCTCAGGTGCACACGGTGCACATGAGGCCATGTGGAACTCAGAGCAGGGCACGCAGCTTGGCTCTGTACATACCGTGCATCTGTTTCAAGTAATGTGAGGCTTAATGTTTTACCCAAGAGAACACCCAACATATATGCTCACCAATTTTTTTGTAGGGATCCGATAAACTCACAAAAACCAACAATCAAACCCTACCTCATATGCGGGAAATACTGCTGCATGACAGACTGGCCACTTCGAGGTGCTTGAGAGGCGCAGCGGCAAGGTTTGCAGTTCACGTGAATTTGCAATCTCAAGGCATGTCCTATGAGGTAGATGCTGAGTGCACGGACGCTGGTGAGCGGTGCATGACGGCTCCTGGTGCGCACTCACACGCACACAGAAGAAAACATGCGCTGCATGATGGCTCAACTTGGAGTCCAGCACAGTGACCTAAGCAGAACTCTGCGAAAGTCGCCTCAGAGAAGGGCTATGTCGGGCACAGATCGAAACCCCTCTACACCCGTGCTAGCACGCTCGCTCGAGCCAAGGCCATGCATGCCGGGGGTGCGAGTGCCGCTCTAGCTGTGGGAGTCCCACTTGCAGTAGGTCTCCTTGGATTGCGCTGACCTTGGGGGCTTTTCACCTCGTCTTGACTTCTTCGCCTCCCCCCACAGGGATCCGATCTTTGATCGCCTTGGCAAAGCGCCAGAGGTACTTGCGCTTCACTTCCTGTCGAGCTTTCAAACTGCCGGCCGGCTCAAGGATGCATCAGTGTTCCAAGTGTTCTAAGGCACACATACGACCAAGCTCCTGTGACTTCGCATACGGGACAAACTTGATGTTCGGTGTTTGGCCCATGTTCACCTCACAGGTTCGAACTTGCACGGAGCAGCACACTAGAGCTTGGAAAAACCTGAATGGCTGGCACAGTCCCCCTTCTTCAACATTTCTGGGTGCCCGCACATTAACCGCCAGCTGCGAGCGCAGCTTTGGCGCAAGGATGTTGAGCTGGCGCTGGACCCACTCGGGGTCGTGGTCCGACGTCAGGTTATACCTTGGCACAGCTCTTTGCCTGAAACATCCGAAACTGTCCCCTGTCCCCCTTCGCACCAAGAAGCAAACCCAACAACTCAAACCCTACAAACCCTAACAAACCCTAACTCTGCTGCGCCGCTGTATCTCTTGCGTGCTCCTCGGCCGTCGGGCACGGATGCGCACGATGGAGACGGCAGCGCCCTGGAGCAGAGGTTCAGGGATTAGGAAGCACACATGTCATGGTGCCGGGGTGTGGAGCTCTAACACACCTGAACGTCTTCGTGGAGGCCAAGCCCGGGTTCGGAACAACGTAGTCAAAGAAGTACCTAAAGACTATCATATGTCCAATGACCTCCTGACGATGCTCTTGTAAAGAGATTCCCACGTCTTCGGACGCAACCCGAATTCAACGGCCCATGGCGACTGTGAGTGAGGTTCCAGTCTGGGATATTTCTACATGGGATCTCACAAGGCCGTCGCATTCACAGATACGGTGAACTGAGGAGCTAGAGCAGCTAGGACCCTGGATCGAACTTTCGCCTTGAGATGTTCGTGCATGATCTGCGAGGAGTTCACATGCAGGGTGGCCTTGTCAGGGAGAATGCAGAATTGTGGAACTTACTTGCGCTTGTCAACAATTGCAAGACAAATACCTGTCTGACTCTGCCTCCACTCCCTCGTGGATCTTCTCACGCTGGCGCACGAGGCGGCGCTTGACGTGCCGCTCGATGGGATCGGTGATGAGCTCACCCACCTCACGGGCTTCTGGATCCTTGTTAAGGTAAGGAGCGTGCAATAGGTACCATAACAAGACTGACAACTTAATTGAAGCTACAGCTCACCTCACGCTCTTCGCCTCTTCTGGGCGTCCAAGCCCATAACAAACATGAGGCCTGCGGCTTGTGGGCTTTCACGATGGCAGCGTTTTCCCGCTTCTGCTGACGGATCCGCGCCCTTAGTTGACGAAAAGAAACCCTACGACTTCTCCGCCGCTGCCGTCAGGGTTCACTCTGTGACAGCTCAGGAGTGCCGATAGACGCTGTCGCAAGCTTTTGGACCAAAGAGCTGTCGGTTGAGGGTTCAGGGTTCTGCAGAGTTCTGGGATTCACTAGTCTGCGGATTACAAGGGCCGAATCACCGGAACCGGCTCTCGAGCTCCTGGAGCCGCGCACCCTCCTGGCAAAGGTCGAAGCTGCATGTTTCAGGCCTACTAGGCTTTCGGGGTCATGGCATTCAGAGTTCAGGATTCAGGGCTGAGATCTCCTTCGAGTTTCTCAGCCCTTGGCCGTAAACGCCAAAATTTTCAGGACCTCTCAGAAAGCCACAGGTACAGAGCAACATGAGCTCTCCTCCAGGCGTTGGAGCTTCGAGTGACCCGGGTGCATGTCCTCCAGAACAAGCTCCGCTTTCGTTCGAGCACAGGCAAAGTAAGGGGCTCGCTACAGTTGTCAACCATCACAAAATGTTTGATAGTCAGGGCTTGGGAATCATGAAAATTACCCCAAAAAGGGGGAATATACAACTATCTCACGATGAGGTACTTGTCTTGAAGGATTTGAACTTGGGGTTTAGGGCCGTCGCACGAACATTTTTTCCGTCGAGGTCTCGTTTTGATGTACCTTCAATACACGTGATCCAAACAATCCAAACACCGCAGGTTGCCGAGCCGAGGTGTGTCGTTTGGACTCGGCCAACGGGCTCCTGAAAAGGTACGGGGTACATGTCACCACCGCCAGGAACGCGCTTCTCCTTCAAGGCTCAGGTTGCTTGGGATCTCAGAACTGGAGTTGCAAAAGGTTGCGGTGCCTTTTAAGCACCTCTTGGATGTCTAGTGGAGGGCACCTCGGCCTCCTTCAGCTGCTGTAGCTTCAGAGACTTCTTCGCCTCCCTCTCCGGGTTTGGCAGCTCCATTTGTTTCAGCCTGGAGCGGGAGGGGGCTCGCTTCTTTGTTGCCGGGGTCCCTCTAAACCAAAAAGGCATCTTCTTTCAGAGTAGCCATACAGGGGGGAATCTCATGTAAAGTCAAAAAGGGGGACTCTTAGAGCAAACCCCCTCCCTTCGGCTCCGAGGAGGCCACCACCGGATCTTGCGGTCCAGCATCTTCTTCTTCATGTACCTCAGCCGGAGGGTTTGTCCACCATATGGGCCCCCCTCTTATGGGGTACCCCAAATACAAGGCTCCTCTTCTTAAATGCTTCAGATACATTGCAGAAATTTCAGTAGGATGCCACTTCCACTTCCACGTGCCTCTGCACCAGAACCGCATGCAGGCCAGGGGACATCTCCTGCAACCGCTGGGCCTCCGCATGCGTAAGGTCCTGCCACCGTGGGCCAGTACCACCTGCAGCAAATCAAACCAACGCATGAAAGCAATTTCCAATCATTCCTCGCAGCGCATTGCGAGAGTATTAGTGTAGCGCAGTGAGGTCGGTGCAGTTTCCTTTGCAGGCCGATGAGCTCACCCATTACTCGGAAGCAGGCACAGCCATCACAGTCACTTTGAACACAGGGAATCTCTCACCGCTCGCGGCCTCAAGAAACCCAGATCCCTAAAAGCCGTGCCTGAGGGATACGTGGCGCCACGCAAGCTTTCATAGTGAAGCCACGGCTTGGTCCGTGAGCTCCGATGGAAGTTTGCCTGAGCAGTCACCGAACCATCCTAAACCACAACAAGCCCTTAGCCCTTCAAAACCCCTAAACCCTTACTAACCCTTTATCCCCCAATCCTCAAAGCCCTGAACCCCACCGCGCCTCGTCGGACTCGGCGCCGGCGGTCCGTGCTGCGGATTCCGCCGCGGCCTTTGGGCTTTGGGCTTTGGGCTTTGGGCTTTGGGATGACCCTGGCTTTCTCGGCTCGGGGGTTTCGGGCTTGGGGTGTCCGTTACAGCCGCCGGGTTGGCTGGTTTGAGTGGCAAAGGGTAAAGTAAGGGCGAAGAGTTTGTGGGCTTAGGCGGCTTAGGGATTGAGAAATACGAGTTTGAGAATGTCCTGAGTAGGGGTTTAGGGTTTCGTGACTTTTCACGATGTTCAGTTTAGGCAAGGATCTCGGGACGGGGGGTTCAGAGGGCTTGAGGATCTTCGCGCAGAGCACGGCTCAACCCAGACGTCACTTCCAGCGAACATGGGGAGGCTCAGCCATGGAGAGCAGCTTAGGGTTTGGGGTGCAACCGAGGCTTAAACGCGTTTTGGGTTTCAGAGAATGACAAATAACCTGAACACCTGAAGCGTGATCCAAGCGCGACTGAAGTTCCAGAGACGGACGTCTGTTGGGCCGCAGACGCACCTTTTGAAGCCGAGCTCATCAAAAGGAGTCAGGGGGATTCTTGAGGTCCTTAAGCTTCGTTCACATGATGCACTTGTCCCTTTGCTTGGGTTGTTCTCATGCTGTGGACCTTCTACGCAGGTGATGATAAACTCCACAGGCCTTCCGATGATACTTAACATGACCTCCCACAAATGCTGGAAATGATCCGGGTCTTGAACCAAGGCGGCCCTGAACCCTTAAAGCCGTCAAGGCCGGGGTCCGAACTCATCGCTTGAAATCACAGCATCCATGAACCGGAAGTGGAGGTAACGTTAAAGGGCAAGACTTCTCCAACCCCAAACTAAAGGCATATAAACGAAAGCCACGGACCTAAGGTTCCAGAACTCCTCCCCCCACACCCCAAACCCTCACCGTCCCAGCTCAGTCCTGTGCCTTGGGATCAAAGAGTGTGGGGTCCGAAGCCGGGCCTTCCCGGCCGCAGCGGCCGATATCCACAAGCTCCTCAAAGGCCCACGAGCATTCAGGATTATGGCGATGTAGAGTTCATGAGGTTCTTTTTGGGAAGCTGTTGGGACATGGGGGGGGGCTGAGGGGGGGCTGAGGACCTGTGGAAGACGGGGCTGAACCTGTCAAATTGAACCTTAACCCTCCGGCCCGTCCTTTGCAAGATGCTGCTCGTTGATGTTCTGCCAGAAGTTTCTGAAGCAGGAGAGTGTGTGCTGAGACACTTCCCAAAGTTGAACAGCGACAGTAAAGGACTTGCAGTCAACCTTGCCAAACCTGAAAACTTCTTGAGGTTGGCTATCGAGCTCCAGCCCTCTGCCGAAAACCAGAAGAAGCCTACCAGCATCACGAGTAGCTGGCGCGCTTAAATGCAAGGCTGTTCATTATTCCCCACCTCTATGGGCGAAGACTATTGTGTCGGGGGCCGCTTTCAACGTGCGTTGGGCACCAAGGGGGCTTAGGGGCTCAGGGGAGTAGGGACGGAGTATTAAGGGCTTAAGGCAATTGATGGGGAGGCTTCAGGCAGTTGCAGGAAAAGGGGTTCAGGGCTCTCCTTCCAGGCCCCGCTGCGGAGAAGCTCCGAAGGCCACGCCGAAGTACGCTTGCCAGGTGCCGGGAGGCCATGCGGCCAGTTCTCTAAACTGGGCCTCCTAGAACAAACGGAGCGTTATTGTTGGGGTGCCCAAAAAGGGCCCACAAGTTAGAAAGAAATAATGTCCAGTTTCAGGCAGGGATGTATCCCACGACACCTTTGTACGCTCACATCATGTCCGGGAATCCGCAACCAACGGTACTGTGGGCTTGGCTCTGAGAGCCCACTGCGAGCTTCTCATGAAGCCGTGACTATGCGGCTGAATCTAGGTGATGTGAGGTTGTCGCAGAATTCACCAGAAGGGTGGCAGCGTCATGGCCCAGAGGGGAGCACACTACCTCTCTCTTGGCACATGCGAAGCTCGCAACTCCACGCAACTGCAGGTGTCAACGGTCATTTTAAGCAGGAACCCAATCGCGCTCAGTAGCCGCAGGCACTGCCCAGCTGCTGGCGGATGCACGGATAATCCTCCGAAGCACAAACATGTGGCTTAACACAATCCCATAAATCTTACACCCTTTCCCTACAAGAGAAGGAAAGTTGCAGAGTTGTTGCAGCTCCTGGGGCGTCCATTTCACGGGTGAGTCCATCAATGCCTCCACAAACAGGCACGACATACTGAAGAGAAGGACAACAACGAGCATGCGGAGATGCTTGGATATACAAAAGCATGCAAGATGTGGACACACAGCATCTTTAATCCACAGATGCTGCAACACGTACAGCAGCTTGCAGCTTTGCACTCGAATCAAGTTTACCATTGTCCAACTGGTGAAGGGCTCCCAAAAGCGAGAGAAGCGACTGAAGATGAGGACCCCCCACTGCGTTGCCACCCACCCGCCCACTTTCGTGGTCTCCCAATACACTGCTCTAGTGACGTCTCTGGACGTTTCTGGACAGAGCTAGGTGTCGAAACTCGAAATATCACGTGGAACGTCAACGCAAAGAGCTCAGAAGGTCGCCATCGCTTCCCAGAAGTGCGGCCTGAATATCCAGGAGCTTCCACGTGTGTCGCACGCTCCACGAATCGTTCCTGAACAGACTGAGCAGGGAATAGGGAAATAGAGGTCTTGTTTCATACATGCCAGATGCGGAAAAGAATAACAAATAAAAACAAAAGCACAGATCACTCACAGGTCAGGCCTTGGGCAGGCCTTAATAACCAAGTGGCATTAGCAAGCCGAACGACTCGTCTTCCCAGCGCCTCGCAGCACAAACTTGGCCAGCATCCCAAAACCCTAAACCCACTCCTAACCCTAAACCCTTCTGCCTTTCCAGTCCATATCATGGAAGCCTTTGACCGGCACATGCTACACATCTCCGACCTGTCTGCTATGTACTCTAAATCCTAACCTTCGTAAGCCCTCAACCAGTTGGAACTCCAAGGGGCGGCTGGTCCCAGTAGACGAAGCCCCCGGAGCTGGAGAAGTATCCTTCCTTCTTGGAGTTTAGGTTTGGGGCTTGAGGATGCAAGATGGCCGCTCCAACAAAACCATGATTAAGGTGACTGAGATTTCGCAGAATGCAGCAAAGGGTCGGAGTACTTCTTGCCATTTAAGGGCCAGTATGCGAAGTCAATGTCCCTCTCTGCCAAGTATCCTTAGACTCAACATGGCCCGGGCCCGATGCTGCCCAAGCCGGCGCCAGTGCTTCAAGTACCTCGATGCTGAATCAAGCCGAGACTCTTAGCATGTTGAGCCAGTAGCCTGGGACAGGCATGCATCAGGCCATGCCCCTCATAGCAGCGCCTACCACAGAGCACAGCTGAAAGACTTCCTGCTCATCACCTGACGACCTTGCGTCAGTCTTGGCACTGCGCTGAGGGTTGTGCATCTCTCAAAAAACCACATGATTTTGTCGACGGTAGCATGGCAAGAGGCTTCCACGGACCTGCTGGCCGAACTCACCCATCCAGACCGGAGCAGTGTAAGGAAAGCCTCGCCAGGGGTTTCGCAAGAGTAGGGGTAACAATTTTGGGGAAAGGCGTCGTTTAGAAGAACATCGTCTGGCATCCTGCAGCACATAGAATACGAAAGGGCTTTAGGGTTTAGGCCTACCTGAACCTGATACCTTCAATTCCTTCCACCCAGAGAGGGGCTCAAAGCAATTCTCAACTCCTGCCTTCTGCCAGGGCAAAGCCCCACTTCGTGTCGAAGACGAACCTGCCGCTTCGTGACACTTGGCTCATGGGACTTCGGGTTTGAGCCCGAGTTTAGGGTAAACACTTGGATTTTTGCTCGAATGTTTTCAACCGTTTAACCTAGCCTCACGTACCAGAAGGTGTCCGCCAAGTGGGAGAACACGAGGAGGACCGACGCTAAAAGCGTGCAAACCTCACAGACTTGTGGGGCGGCGTTGGCACGCAGCCCTGAGATAAAGCATAGGTTTACTCTCAGTTGATTATGGTTACTGGTGCCTACTAGGGGGTTTAGGGTGGAGCTGCCCACCCACGGTACGCTCAGCGCACACAGTGAGCCGCCTAAAGCTCATGGCTGCTTAGCTTGCGGAGGACCTGTAGCTGCCAAGAGGCTGAGAGGAACATAAAGATCCTCAGAGTTTTCGCGAAGCACAGAAACACCATCGCACAAGCAATGGCTTGCGAGCATGGAAGGCTTAGACCTCCCGAAACTGCAAAGTCGACTTCCTTTACTGCTCCCATCCCAAGAAGAGCGGTATGCCCTGCAGCTTCCCTGCTCCGAGGTGCTGCAGAAAGAGGAGCATCCCGCAGTCCCAGTGGGGCGGTGAGGGTGGCGGTAGGTGCCGCTTGCGGCCCAGGCCTTTGCGGCTGCTTCTGTTACCGGGGCTGGCCGGGGGTTTTGGGGCTTGTGGATGGGAGCCTAGCAGGCTGACGGGTGCACTCTGCGTTGCACGTTGCATGTTACATTCGTAAACCATCCCCACACACCCTTCCGAGAATCCAAGCGACTCCAAGCGACTCCAAGCGACTCCAAGCACCAGTTGGCTCAGCAGCTACTGATGCGGCAAGGCGGCAGTACTCCTTCGCGAGGCTCAGCGAGGCGAAGCCTGCATGAAGGTTTTTTGGGATCAGGGCTTTGGGAGACGGCTGGGGCTCGAGGGCTGCTGTAGATGGCTTAAGGCTTTTCAGCTTTGCGGCTTCAGGGGTCAAGAGCTTTAGAGGTTTCAGGGCTGCGCCAAGATCTGTAAAACAGTTTTGAGCTGCCACCATGATACTTCCAGTCCCAGAATTCCGAATAAGGTGCAGGATCCATCTAAGGGCGTGAACGCTTAGACCGATGATATGAGACTCGGAGTCTTTAGGAGCAAACGCATCATTAACTGGTTGCATGCCTTCCAGCGCCAGACTACATGCAAAACACCAGAGCCGGATGCAGACGACTTCAAGGGATAAAATGACCACTGTCCTTGCCGCCCGTGCTCACTTCTCGACACCGTACCGAGGCCCTGAACCTTCCAGCCTGATCACGAGATTGCGAGTTTCCGTCTCAGCCACGAAAACACACCAAAACCCTTCACGCCGCCTTCACCATTAAGACTGAGCCTTCATCAGCCCCTGACCACTGGTGGGTGCAACACGTACCCAAAATCTTTTCAAGAAAACCAAAACCCCAAACCCTACGCAACCATGCAAGTTTCACGAATCGCGGCCTGGCTCCCGGGCAAAGCCAGGAATCCGGTCCTTGTCAGGCCATGCAGGTCTTCTTGCGTGGAGGTCATGGGCCTCAAGCGCAATCCAACCTAAGGGCCCCGCTTACACCCTTGAAACATCTGTCCTTACCCCCACTTCCATGTCTAGAGACCCTCCCCCGAAAGCCCCTGCCTTGCGCACTCCCGGGTAGTCCACCTGAATCTTCGGGGCTTTCTCGTGTCGCGCTTCGGGCTTTGGCTGTAGAAATGCTGCTACAGGTAAGATTGGCAAAACGATCTCAATGTCTCCCATAAGAGCGGGGCTGCAAAGTCGCTGAAGTCTGACGACAAGCTTTTCTCGTCCTCGTCACCTTTCAGCACAGTGCGCATTAAGTTTCGGTGAGGCCTACCAAACAAGTGAGCCTGAGATTCCCGTCTGGCACCCTATGAACTCAAGACGGAATCTCTGCACGGAAGAACCATTCCAACAGCCAAGCAGCAACTATCACCAATGCAGACGTCTTCGCAAACCTCGGGCACCACACCACAGTTCTCACCTCAGTTGACATCAGAATGCGGACTGGACAAGCCTAGCTGCCCCTGTATCCGCAGCATGCTACAACATCCCTTGAGCGCTCCAAGCCAGAACATGTACGCTCAGCTGAGCTCTGCACTAGTCTGGATCCTGGCACTTGGCACGTCAAACTGCTGCAGACCAGACATGCGTGGAGTTTGCGGTAGGGATTGCAGTTGAGTTTGGTTTAGGTTTGCCGTGCTCAGGGTTCACCTATGCAGCCTCTGATGACAGGGCACATGTGTAATGTCTGTGTCTGTAGCTACACAAATACCTACGTACGTACCCATCTACCTATCTACCTACGTGTTTGTATGCATGTGCATGCTTCTGTGTTGGCTCGTATGTTCGTATGCATGCAAGTGCATCTGCATCTGTACGTTTATGTGTCTATGCGTCTGGCTCAACCCTAGGGCCCTACGAGTAGATTCTTTTCAGACACGCCAGCGTGCCTCAGCCCGATACAAGCGGCCCAGGCCCCAAGAAGCAGCAGCAACAAGCAGCCGGCCTCGGCGACTGACTCAAGGAGCGTGCTTGGGTTTTGGTGCGGAGGAGCTTCTTGGGCTTAGGTTTGGTTTTTTTTTGGGGGGGGGGGTTTAGGGCTTCGGCATAGGAGAACTTCGGAGGGTTCAGGGTTCAAGGCTGAGGCTGTAGAATTTCGGCTCCGGGTGCGGTTAAGGTGTGACAACGCTTTGGGGTCACCATTGCTTCTGTGCAGAGCAATATTGCTTCAGAGCATGGACTCCGAGGCTTTCAAAAGCGCTGGGCTGTGGACAGCCCGCCCTCAGCCCTGTCGCTAAGTTCCTCTTCCCACTCTGACGAACAAAACTGCCTCCAGCCACAAAGCTCCTCCTGAGTTCCTCTTTGCCTGAGTCTCTTGTCGCATCCTTCCCCGGCCGCGCCCAGCACGCCAAAAAGCTCTGCATCAAATTCATTCCTACGTAGGCCATGCCTGCTTGAGGGTTTCGGGTTGTATAGGGCACGGGAAGATACGCTCTGGCATGGGCTTAACGATGAAGCAACCAGGCAGTCAGCGATGTCATGATGAATGCAACAGTTTTCTTCCATACTCTTCACACACACACACACACACAAAACGGCAGCATCATAGCCTCGAGAACTGAGGCTAGCGACTGACAAGGCAATTCCCCAGGGAAGGAAGTAGTTTTTTGCCACCTCAAATGAGACCAAGCACAGCCGCAATGCACACATGGCCCTCGCTTGAAAGTGAAAGCTCAGTGTGATCAACTAAAACTCTTGCATGGTCACGTGCGACACGTGAGACCCGGGAGTGTCACACATGCCACTGACCCTCTCTAAAGCAGCCGAAGCAGCGTAGGAGCAGTACATCGTGTAGAAGTAGTAGCCAAAGAAGCAGACTCCTGCACTGGCTACATCTCAGCTAGGACTAGCCAGTGGCAGCGTCAAGGAGATGTCAAAGCATATGGGAGTGTTAGCGCGCGCATTTTCTCTCTCTTACCGCAAAAATCCACTTTCCATCCAATGTCAAAAACGAGTCCCAAACGGACCCTAAGGCCCAAAGAGAGACACCAATGACACCACTACTGTAACCCTGTTAAGGGGCCCCCCGCGCCCCGACGCGAGCCTGCCAGGACTGCCATGAAAAAGGAGGCCCAACCCGACACGAGCGCCAAGAGCCTTCCGGCTTAGAGGTTTATGCATGAGAGGAGTTTAGAAATCGGGGCTTAAGAATTGGGGTTGGGGTCTGGTGGTGTAAAACTGCCTTTGAAAATTGGCCGAAACTCTGCCGACAGCCGACACCGAAGCATTTTAGCACCCTGACTTCTCTTCAACCGCAAAACCGAAACCCTAAGATCACATGTAAGCTTAAAGCCTAAAGACAACCAAGCCACGTCGACTTGCGCGGCCATGGCTGGCCCATCCTGTCGTAGTTAGGGCCGTTTCGGGCGTTCCGGGGCTTTAGGGTTTAGGATTTCGGGCTCAGGGAGGTTTAGGGTTTAGTATGTAGGGCTCAACAAGTTTTAGCGTCTGGCGTTTGATCGGGGGATTTCGCGGTGTTTTGGGGGGTTTCGGCGGGGGCCTGGGGCTTAGGATGGCTCTAGGAGTTGAGGACTTAGGAGGGAAGGGAAGGCGTAAGACATCTGCGATGCTTCTCACTTGTCCGTTCTTATCCAGGGCAGGAGGCAGGGAGGGGCACATCGTAGTACCCCCCATGCGCCGTCTGAGCTTGGCCCTGTCTCACTTCCTTCTTCTTCTTCCTTCTTCTTCTCCTTCTTCGTCTTCTGCTGTCGGAATCTTCTCAGCAAGCCCCGTCCTGTACCAAGTCCACCTCAGACAGGTTTCAGTACTTGGTGCTCATTGAGCAGTCTTTAGATGCTCAGCGATGAGGATTTACACACGTAACTTCTTGAAATCAGGTTCTTCACAGGCACCTTGCCCTAGTACAGGACAGTCCACGATCTAGGCACGCCAGATCTCAGGCCGCCAGATCTCAGGCCGGGGCATGCAAGCCAGATCCAGGATGACGAGGGTCCCCAAAATCCAGGCAGTATTCTCGTGCACTTTGGCCCACCTGAAAAGAGCTCTGGGTTCGAGATCCTTGACGAACCCTCAGCCAACATCAGTCGCATGTGTCGTCGTGACCAAGTTCTGGCAACCTTCTGAATCGAAGGATCCAAAGCCCAAACTGTCTCAATGCGGCGAGGTGACGAGAAGAAGTTATTGGAGGCAAGAGTGGCCACTTGAAACCTGAAGGGTCTAAAATTCGCATTTCCTTGTTTCACAAGCACGCCGTCGAGAAACTGCATCTCGGCAGAACTCCTTCTCATCAAATACTTTTGTTGGAAAATGTTGAACTAAAGAACCCTGGTGCCCCCCAGAAGAAGACCGCAAAAGAGTTCAATCGACAAGGACTCTTCGCTTCCATGGTCAACATGAGACTTGTACATCACATGCAGACCCATTCTCGGTTGTTCTTGAACTGTTCTTGGAAAGAAAAACAGAACAGTGTCAGTAGTTTAGAGGAGGCTGAAAAGTTTTCAACTCGTCCTATCGGATCGAGCTTTGAATACACCAAGCGAGTAGAGCTGTGTGACGACAGAACGTTTTGTGCAAAAGGCCCTTCAACTAACATGTCTGACGCAATCAGCCTTCGCGGAACGGTGCTGCCAACAAACCAAAAATGCCACGTGATGTCCAAGTTGCTCAATGTAGTTGTGAGTTTCATAGACCAGGCGGTTCGCCACAGAAAACTGGATCCTGGTTTGCTTCGTGGTATGTGCGACTGGCAGCTAATGGAAATCATCATGACAGCGAGCCGGAACCTTTTAATTCAAAAGCCCCCCTCACATGCCCTCGGCACCCACCTCCCAAACCATGCTTGCAAAGAGGCGGGTACTGCTTCACAGGTCTCAAGTCCATGCAGAAGCATAGAGCACTCACGACCTCTGCTGAGAACACATGGGGAAACTAGACACCGCAAACTACCTGGTCGAAGCTACGCGACCCAACTGCAACGAACAGGTAAATGTGACACTCTGACAATCAAAGTTGCGATCAGCAGGTTGGGATTCACATCCAATATGGCATTGCCTGCGAACACACCATGGCACCGCCAAGATCACATGTACAGCTGCAAAGCAGTAGAAAAAAGAACCCAGATAGACTCACATCCGAAAATCAAAGAGACAGCTGCCTGCTCTCTCAGCTGCAGCTTTCCAGTCTGCTGCATCATCCGTGCCCCATGTCATCTGGCGACCTCCAGATTCTGGAGGCGGGGTGTTGAATGCTTCATCAAGGGCTTGGTCTATGGCTGAGCATGCACCTATCCCATCCAGCACAGTGTAGCTTGAGATTAGGCGCCTGGGATATCATGTGGCTCATTCCGAATGTCGAAGGCCACAACGAGGCTGTTGTTCCTGGGCTTAGGGTTGTGGCTTCATCTTTGCCTGGCTCCCTTGAAGCTGTCACTTCCTTGCGAAAGCCCCACCGAAACATCCCACGACAGTTTGATGTACGGGCAAGCATCCGGAAGAGCGTGGTCATCCCGACAAGGCTTTCAAGCCAGAACTTCTCAGGGTAAAGGTCAGTGTACCTTCTGCAAAGTGCTTAAAGCTCAAGGCATAAGATGGGAGGGGTATATCGGGGCAGTTCATCTGTCAAAGCACAGGCACAGGTCGGCTCGGAGGCTCTCGCCCTTTGTTAGTCAAGACGCCAGAAGCCCTCATCCTGCTTCACATTGCAACACCATCCTGCGCAGCAAACCACAGCAACGAACAACTGCCGAGCGTACAATGCCACCAAGCAGCCTGACTTGGAGATGTGATTGTTCAGGATCACCTGAGCCACAATCAACCGGGTGACTCAAGAATTGTCTTTGCACGCGTGCAGTCGGTTCTGCAACTTCATGTCATATCGATCTCCGAATCACAACACTCGCAAGATAGATGTCAGATGATGTCAGACACTGGAGGACGCGACGCCCACATGCAGCCGAGAATCCATAAGACCTTCGTTGGTGAGGGCCTGGCAGAAACCACTTTGCCTACGTCTAGGCGGCTTCCAAGTTGTACTTGAAGCTGATGCATCTTGAAGCACTGACTCGTAAAGTCACTCAAAGGCTGATGGCCGCAGTGTGGCCTGAACTGTCCTTTGAAAGATATAGAGAAAGCGCTTTCCTTTGAGATCCGGGTTTGCAGCGACGTCCTGCGGAAGAGACTTAGAGAGACTTAAAAGGTATTCCATAACTCTGAGATCGGCATGAGTGCTCCATCGGACAGGAAGTGACGACGGTGACAAGTACACCACCAAAAAAGGTTGCAGCACCACAAATTGTGGGTTGTTGCGCATACATGCAAAGTGATATGATTGATCTCCACTATGGCCTGGTAATTATCCTTTGTTGAATGTCCTAAGAACTGCTGAGTCAGGCCACAAGGCATAAGCGCTGTGACTATTGCCCTGCTTTGTGCACGTCAAAAACGGGAAACCCACCAACCCGACGTAAGTCCAGAACCGCACATCACGAGTGGGTGTACAATGTGCACATCTGTCCTCATCGTTAACCAAGGGATTCGACAAATGATTCTCCTCGGACGCCACAGCCAAACTCGGAGTTGTGCTGCCTAAACCCAAACCCCTGCACCCCGTGTCATCGTTGGATTTTGGAGCTCCGAACACTCCACCCAGATGTGCATGCAGGACACAGTGCTGTAGCACAATCGCACGCAGTTGAAGCCCAACTCGCGAATTCTTCCTGCCAGCTTCGAAAGGTCCTGCAAGCTTGAAAAGGCATGCTGCCAGGCATGTCTACAACCGTCATTCCCGGACATCATCGCCACTCCCTCTGTTTGTGAGCATCCTGCACTTCAAGACCTCCAACAACCGCTGGTCTGGAGTAGGCACCTGGACCAGGTCTTCAGTCGCTGCGCAGTTCAAAAAGTCATAAGGCAGAACTGTCGCTGGCCTGCCCAGTTGATGCAGGCCCATTTTACCTAAGTGCCGCAAAAGCTTCCCCGACAAATGTTCCAAACTGCTCTGAGCAACATGAGCAACTTGCGATCTGTGAAGCTGTTGTTGCTGCTGCTGTTGCTGCTGTTGCCGCTGTTGCTGCTGGTGCTGCTGGTGCTGCTGCTGGCAATGTTAAGTGCACAGGAATGTTAGCATCGACGTTCAGGCGAGCTTCCGCAATATGTACAGTGTGAGGCTTCCGTCTCAGAGACGCATCTACTGCTGCTGGGCACATACAACTAGAAGATGCAAGGCCACCAACGCCGACGCGTCGCGCGCTCGTTGTTGACGTTGACGATGTAGCGGCCTCAGAGCAGGAGAGGTCATAAAACAGACCACATAACAGACCACATAACATAACGGCCCAAAGATCTCCCCCCGGAAATATTCCCTCTGCCTTTGGTGTGCAGAGGCAGCTTGGACCGATCCACCAGCGCCGCGCGCTGTGCAGCCGCGACCGACAGCAAGAGGAGCACCTAAGGAAGTACTATGGAAGTGCTTTTGAATGTAATAAGTTTGCTTGAAAATTAAGAAGGGTCTCTGGAGATCTTGGGATGGGTTCGGATGGGTCCTATGCTGTGGGGTTCAGATTGGGGCTCTGGACAAACTTTTCCGCTCGGATTTCGTGAAGCCACACAAAAAAAGAACATCGAAGCCATTATGCCCACGCGCAAAAGTACCTTAATCTCACATCCTTTCTCAGACTGCAAAGCTTTGTCCCGACCGGACCTGAGACATAACTTTGTCGTTTGCATTCTTTGTTTACACTTGCGTGAGAGCTGACCTCCACAACAACATCCGAAACTTGGCGTGTGCCAACACGGCCCCATTGGGTCTTCCTGCCAAGAGGCCGACCACCTCCACATATCACCTGCACACAGTCTTGCGGACGACTACACAAGCCAATTTGATTAATAATCTGTATGAGCTGTCAATATGCTCGGTACCGCATTGCACCTTTGCGAACTCATACTGCTGGTTTTCACTGCCCGCCTGTGCTGCAAGTCAGCATGCTACCAGGTGCGAGCTTCCATTCATGCGTGAGCTACCTCTTCTGCTCTAACAACCTGCCACGCATTATCACTTCATACAGTGAACACCTGTGCACGCTTGTTGTAGGAGTAGCTTGCTGAAGTTTCTTGCTTGTGCTGCATGAGACGAACTGGTTCCAAAAGATGGTGGTGCAAAAAGTAATCTCGGTCGTACCTTCCAAACACACATGTGTCGGCCAACATGTTATTGCTGCTACTTGCAAGCATAGGTCGTGGCGGATGCTTTCTCCATGGAGAGTGCCGTTTCGATGTCCCAGAAGGAACTCAACCGCTGGGGACCTTAGGATGAAAAGAGACATTCGCTTGCATGGACGCGCCCCTCAGAGGCCACCTGCGCGAGAAAGTGCTGATGATTGCTCTCCAGATGCCAGCGCAGCATCTCGGCAAACTCGGAAACATGCACACCGGGCGACGTGCTTTCCCAACGCACCATCTGCAAGCTTCTTCGAGGCGCGGGACTAAAACTACGGAGCGTCTTGACAGACATGCGAATGGAGCCCAGTGCTGGAAGCCGAAGGTTGGTGACCAAATGGTCCGATGTTTGAGGTGCTGAGACTGATTCGGACGGTGCACTGATGGCATTGGAGGCATCGCTGGTTGCGGACTGACGTTCGCGAAACGGATCGAGACGTCATGGAGAGAACAAACGGAGATGCCAGAATGCCAACGCCGTCAATGCTGGCTCCTGACAGACCTCGAGTGACCGAGGAACACATGACCCGGGAAGACTCAAACTGGCCTCAGACTGGAGAGGGTGTTCTTGCATGGGAACTCACCGCAAAGCAGTGTTCCCACGCCGGCATCCCAACACACATCAATGTCGCTGAGTTCACACAGTCTATCACACTCCGCTCCTCAAGCATTCTTGAAGCGTCCCGCATACATCGAAGTTTCAACTGGGCTGATGGGACTTGGGACTTTGCGGGATGTCTCAGACTCTCTCAAGCTTCGTGGATGTTGAGACTGTCACGCGGTACGTCTGGACCCTGAATTGCTTTAATTGCTGTCGCTCTGAGCCCTCGTCCTTGTTGGCCTTCAGTTCGTGAAGCTTCTATCTGCGCAGGTCCATGCCAGCACAGCTGTGTCCTGCTTCACATCCCCTACCAGACCACACAAGGCCCTGACAGTTGCCATTTTCTCTGAAAGGCCTGGGACCACACCTAAGCTCTCTGCACTATGTCAAGGGCCGTGCCACAGAAGGACTTCGCATCGCCAAGAGGCTGCACATGTGCAGGTGCGCCTTGCGCAGGCGTGCTGTGTAGCGGTTCCAAACACGGACGCCTCGCACTGAGATTCCGTTGAAGTGCTTCGCTGTGCACTCCTTGCGTGGCCTTGTGTCTTAGCGGAGTTAGCGGAGAGTGAGCCTCCAGAAGAGGGAACGAATGCTAAGAAACTGATGCCGGACCGAGACAGGCGAGAAGATGACCTGGGTCGCAAGCCTGCGCGCTTGCACAATGTGGCCAAATGTATGGGGCACCTCTACAGCGTTACAGCTGAAGCGCTAACCTCCGCCTGGTGCTTGAATTGTTTACAAAGTTGCGGTCTGCTGAGCCTTCGAAGTGCTTCGGAATCACAAGGATGATTCTCGTGTGCTGCAGCCCGGCAAAATAAGACTTTGTACTCACAGTTGTCACAGCTGGAGGGAGTGCGGTCATGCCGAAACATCCGGGATGCTGAAGCCCGACACCTGCCCGAAGCAGAAAGGAAGGCGCCGCGACCACGCGGCTACTCCACAGGACTGTTCAGTAGCTGAAGGGTCTCACGCCGGCACCGCTGCTAATTTGACACGGAATCGCCACAGGAATTTTGCCTTCTTTCTATATGATAATAAAAAGGTCAAGGATTCCCGGGCGTTCTCGTGCAACGTCACAGTCCAAGCCCTCATGTTTGCGGTTAGCTTCAACAGCGTCCCAAGGTTGGCTGAGGCTTCTTGAAGGCCTCTTGCAAACCTAGCCTAGGCAACTGCACATGAAGGTCTGACAGCTTTCTCTCTGTGAAGTCTGCTGCACAAGACTTGGGTGGACTTTCACCAGCAGAAACACAAGGGGGGCAGGCACACTTAACGACAACATTGTTCCCACTAGGCACTGCGAATGCCTATCTGCCTACCCTCTCGTGAGCCAATCAGTCCCAAGAACCCCCTAGCCGCCGCCTCAGCAACCTGTCTCAACACTGGCCAACTCAGCTTAACCCAACGCACTTCTCGCTGTGATACCAGGTGTAAGCTGCTAGCCAGGTGCTCACTGAATATCAGCATGGTCCGCGGGGTGTGTGCTCGTTCCGACGTAGATTCACAGATTGGGCACCCAACATGAAGCGGCTTGCGTGCCAACTCGGCCGACAGACGGGCTACTTCAACGGCTGGGTTGTGAAGGGCAATCCCCGCACAGCAAGCGAATACAACCAGCGCTGCTCAGCAGGGCTGGTCAGCATGGTCGCAGCATGACTTGCAGCTGGCACACTTGGAAAGGCCTGGGGCGACTCAACATCAAACCAGTCGAAGCGCGCACAGGAGATGAGCGCGTGTTTTGGCCATGCACAAAGTAACGCTCCTGCTCTTTGCTGCCATGGCTCTCATCTCTTCGGTCGCTGTGCCTCTCGTGCCTTTTTCCTCCAACCCCCACGAACTCGAAGGTACTCGAGGGAGCCCGCAGAGCTGGCAACGCACGAGGCCCAAGTTCACATCGCATAACGCTGGCTTCTGCAACCTGGCAAGGAGTGCCGTGCCTTGCTTTTGGTTGAGAAAGAGCTCCGGGCCTCTAACTGCAAGTGATGGAAGCTGGTGCGTGCACGCATGTGTTTCGAGGGCTCTGCTGAAGCTGAACTGCGGATGGACTTGCCTCTCAAATACTATTGCGTTTCGCAGCGCCAGGCGTCAGACTTCTTTGGGTTCTCTGATTCTGTAGGCTTGCTGTGCCCGGGTCTTGTCCAGGTTCCGAAAAGCGCCATGCACAAAAGCCATGAAAGGAGAGCCTTATGTGCATAAACTCGACCTGCTCTTGAGGCCTCACGCAGGGCTTGGTCGACTGGTTGTCCTGTCACCTAGGAAGACGATGCAATGTAAGCCGCGGGGCCAGAAGCTGTCCTACAGGCATTGCCTGCTGATGCAAAAAGGAATCTCATGAGATGAGCATTCAGCAACGACCTCTTGCGTATCTCATATACCTCAGACCTTTTCCCTTTGAGAAAGGATAGGCAACCAAGTGAACCACGAAGCTGGCTCACAGCATGTGCACCTAAGGTTGTGGCTGCTGTGGCTACTTTTGTGGTTTGGGACTCTGATCTGGCTGATCCAAGAGTTTCCTTACAACGGTCGGTATCTGTTCAAGCTGGCTTGGGGGTGCATGCATGAACTATGCGCCAAGGCACGTGCCTGGACGCACCCGTGTGGGTGTTAGGGCGTTTCGGGCGCTTCGGGCGAGTAGGGTATAGGGACCTCAGGACCCTGAACGGCAATCGCAGCAGTTTGATCAACGCTTGTGCGCCAAATTGGCATGCTGCAAGTTTGAAACAGTCCTCGTTTCACTCAATCTGCTGCCTAGACGGCATGCCTTGCAGGGTTGGAGATGCAGCCATGGATGTGCCGTGCACAGATCTGCACCCTCAACTTCACTCTCATCTTAGTGTGATTGCTCTGAAGGTCTAGTAGTCCTAGAGGCCCACTGCTAGGTCAAAGTCTACTGCGCTTGGCTGCCGCTTGGTTTGTCGGGACTCCTTGGCCGTCTCTCCACAACGCAGCGGGACAAGACGCTCACATGCAGGTGTCAGGCTTAGCCTGTGCGCGGGTTTGTGGCCTGAGGGCTGCTCTTTAGGCCTTGGCATTTGGGTCTGTCTCAGATGGTCTTATGGCCCTCTGCACAGGTCGAAAAGGATCCGGCGAAGTCCTGGCTGCGACAACCACAGGAAAGACAAAGCAAAGGTCTTGTGAGTCAGCGCCCAGGATCGAGCCTTCCTATCCCCTCCTAGGACTCCCTCTTTGTTGAGAGCATCGCCCTGCGGACGTGTCCATTCAAGTGCATGGCTTCGTACATCCCCAAGAGGCCCTAGGGCTTCCAAGAGCCCCAAGAGTCCCAGGCAACCTCAAAGAAGAGGAAAGTCAACATCTGCAGAGCGCTGCTTCACCCCCTCTTGTTTCTGTTGATGCTTGAGTCGGAGTGTGCAGGAAGGCGCCATACCGGAGCCTAAGCTCTGCACTCTGACCGCCAGTATTCTTGGTCCGATCCGAAGCAGGCCGCAAGGAAGCTGGTGGCCCCGAGCCTGGGGCCTTTTCACTGACATGGAACGGCCCTGGCAGTGATCACGCAGCAGCTTGCGCAACGCTTTGCAATGGTCTGGCGTACAGCAAGAGCCCCGACGACTGGAACAGAAGCGGGGCTGGGCCAGCTACGACCAAAGCTGCGAGCAACGGAGGCCGGCACAGGATCTGCACTTGAAGGTGGCCTTGCCCTGACCCCGAACAGCCTGAACAGCCTGAACAGGTGCGTACGGTAAGGGAATTCGCAGAGCTAGGCAGGTGCGGTCGCCTAAATTCGAGACACCTCGGCTCTCCAAGGCATCAGAGAACACGCCGCCAGCGCAAGCATCCCTCCAGGCGAACCAGCGCCTGGTCACTGACTACGCAGTGGAGCTGCACAACGAAGCCGAACAGGTGGCGGAGGCGGTCACTGAGATTGCTCGGTGAAACTGATGTGGACCATGTGAGAGTTGGCCACAATACCGAACCCAAGACCGTATCTTATGTGGCATGTAGGGACTTCCATAGGACATCGTCGGATAGGCCGATTTCTTGGACTCCCATGACGAGACTACCATCACCATTACAACGCTCACAATCCAGGCACAGCCCGTGTGAGGCCCTGGAGCCACTCACGCTTCACTCAAGATTGCGAGCCTTGAGGGGCCGCGCCTTTCAGCATCAAAGAATGTCCCCGAGATGCCCAGTGGGGTCCAAGTGCGGCAT